CCCTTCCCTATGATGCTGAGAAGGCAGTCCTACTTAGATTTCTGCGGGTCTTCCCACCTCTGCAGGGTGGGCGGAGAGAAGCCGAGGGTGGAGTCTCCCCTGGACCCTGAGATCCCTCCTTGGGGATAAAGAGCTATTTCAGGTGCAGGCATGCACACCCACCCATCTCAGCCACCTGCCATTTTTCCTTGCTGTGCTTCTCTGGGAGCTGGGACGGGTGTCTCGCTCCCTGCCCCCTTCTCTGCGGGCCAGGCTTGGGAGTGGTGGGAGGAGAATCAGGGATTCTCCAGGGACAGGGTCGGGACACCAGGTGGGTTGGGATCCTGAGGTGCAGGGGACAAAGGATGTATTGTGAGATTTATTACAGACCCTCAAGGAGCTTTGGCGGCCCTGCGGGTTAGGCTGCTAACCGAAGAGCCGGCAGTTTAGACGTCCCAGGAGAGGACGAGGAGGCTGCCACCCCTCCAAAAGAGTACAGCCTCGGAAACCCTATATACGGTCCCTATGAGCTGGATGGCTCTGGGTTTGGTTTCTGGCCCTGGCTCTCTCTGGCTCTGTTTCCCGAGTTGTCCAGCCACTAGGGGAGACTCCAGGTGCCTTCTGGCGGCGAGGGTCTCGGGACAGCCCCGCAGCGCCCTCCCAGCGCCCCCTCACCTTCACGATCTGCCGGGGCTGCACGCTCAGCGTGGGGAAGTTGCCGCGCCCGTGAATGGGAATGGGCTCGCTCAGGAGCGCGTCCAGCCGCTTCACCTGGGGCCAGGTTAGCCCGCTAAGGTGTCGTCCGAGGGAGGCCGACGAGGCCTCTGGGTCGGGGCCGCTGCCTGTCGCGGCGGCGGTGGCCACTGCCGAGGTTGCAGCCGTCCCCGCCTGCGCGGCCGCCCCGTCCGGACGCTCTGCTCTGCTCTCCGACGGCATCGTCCGCCTGGCCCCGGATGGCAGAACCCAGGGGGTGCTGTGGGGGAGGCGGGCAGGGGGAGCGGCTGAGCCCGGGTCAAGGCACGGGGCGGGGCGGAGGCAGGGACGGGGCGGCAGGGTCCGCGAAGCAGACCCAAGGCACACCTGCGCCGGGGACAAACTGATCCCAGAGCCTCCTGTCCGGGCCCACCCTGCCCTTATAGGCCGTGGACCACGTGCTCATTGGTCTGGACACAGTCACGGGAGCCGCCCCGCCCCCCAGACGCCCCTGACATTGGTCAGTGGAGTTTTGCACGTGAGTCACTGGTCTCTGGGGAGGTTCCAATTGGCTGGACGGCACGCCCCTGCCAGGCCCACTTTCTCAGGCTGAATTCCCTCCTTTGGTCTTTAAAGAACTTCTGTCCACTGTGATTGGTCCTGGCGGACGCAGGACCTGGGTTTAAAGGGACAGCGCCCTCCAGAGGCCGTGGGCGGGAGCGCCCAGTGGAGCCGGACTACAGAGACGTTCAGATTTATTTGTTTATTTTGGCGCGAGAAGGAATGTACAAACTCACTCGGTCATCTGCTATTTCCAGAAGCTCGGAGAGATTGTGCTACTTGCTCAATTCCTGCTGCCCTCCAGCGATCTTCCGGAGGATGTGGTCGAGGAAAGGTAACCCGGGTAGATCGATGCTTTCTAACTTTCTGTGTGCGTTGGCCCTTCCAAGCCCCAGCGTGGCCGGCGTAAAAGGACCTGCGGAGGAAGAGGGCACCGCTCTAGAACCCGGCTGAGTACAATCTGTGGCGCATGCTCTTTGCGTTGCTTCGGGGTTGGAGCTTAGTTCTCCCCTTGCCAGACTCTCGCAGGTGAGGCTTCTCGGGTGGCTGGTGGAAGCCTTTCTCAGACGTTCTATTCATCACGTTTTATCTGAGTTGTGCTGCCCGGAGTTGCTCAGCTTTCTCGGGCGCCTGCGTGTGCCCTTAGAAAAAGCTACTTTAACCTCTCTGAGCCCTTATTTCCTCATCGGGCCCAGAGAAGGTATTCAACACACGTTTTTAAAAAAAAACAGGTAGTCCTTTAATGACAAGGAGGTTTAATTTGCGTCGCGCTGAATTGAATACCTTTAAAACACTACAGCGTTCATGACAACCTTTTACTATCAGTAACTTTAGAAATCTGATCCTCCAACATCTGTGAGTGAACATCATCAAATTATATACCCTCTACAACATTATATGTAGTACATATTAGTAGAGGTAAAACAACAACAAAAACGCAACACCGGAACACTAGATGTGGTCTGCTTAAAGTTTGTAAAAACCTGTTCATGTGCTGTACTGAAATAATGCTTCCATGTTTTGCTCCCACATTACAGAGCTTAAAGAGAGGAGGCTTATCAATTACCTTTAAATTCATATTTTCCCCTCATTTTAAATATATGTGCTTATGGCAAAAATTTAGAAATTGAGTCTGTTTTACTCTCTTTGACTGCAATTTTTTTTTCTTAAATTAAACATTATTCTTCTAACAATATATCAATTTTATCAACCATTCTTCTAACATTTTCCTCTTTTGTAGAGTAAGTTGGGCAGGGAGTAATATGCTCAATTTACAGAAGGGGAAAGGCAAACCTACAGACCAGGGTTACCAACTTGCCTCTGATTGATGAAGCAAGACCTGCCTTTAGTCTCCCCTCCCCTGCTACTTTATTGGGATTCGGGGCTTCCTATGGCTCCACTTCTTGGCCATGTTGTGGTTAGGTATCACTAAGCTGGCTTTGGTTCATAGTGACATTATGAACAAAACACGACACGGTCCTGTGCCGTCCTCACAATCACTGCTATGTTTCAGCCCATTGCTGTAGGCACTGTTTCAACCACCTTCTAGAGCAGCGGTTCTCAACCTTCCTAATGCCGTGACCCTTTCATACCGTTCCTCATGTTCTGGTGACCCCCCCAACCAGAAAATTATTTTCGTTGCTACTTCATAGCTGTCATTTTGCTACTGTTATGAATCGGGCGACCCCTGTGAAAGGGTCCTTTGACCCCCAAAGGGGTTGCGACCCACAGGTTGAGAACCACTGTTCTAGTGGGTCTTCTTTTTCATCGGTTCTATACTTAAATTAGCGATTCTTCCCCAGAGACTGATTTGTCCTGATAACGTGTACGAAGTACATGAGAAAAAGCCTCACCATCTTTGCTTCTAAGGAGTGTTCTGGCTGTATTTCTTCCAGGACAGATGTGTTCTTTCTTCTAACAGTCCGTAGTCTTTTCAGAAGTCTTTACCAACACCGTAATTTAAAGGTATCCATTGTTAGCCTTTCTTATTCATTGCCCTGCTCTCCAATGTATTGAAAAGACTATGGCTTGGATCAAGCAATGTTAGTCTTCAAAGTGACATCATTGCTCTATTTATTTGATTTTTTATTGTGAATTGGGTGCAGGTTTATAGAGCAGACCATTAACTTTACATTCAATGATTCATACACGTTCTGTTTCACCTCATTCACTGTAATCCCCTCAAATAACATCACCTATCCTAATAATACCTAATAATCACTCCAATAACATTACTCCTTCCTCTGTTTCCTGTCTCCATCGCTCCTTCTTTCCTAACTCTTCTGAACTTTGACCTGGGGTAACTAATGCCCCCTTGATTCCTAATGTTCTGTTACTCTAAGTTGTGTACACATCATAATGCTATTGTTCGGCTCAGTATACAGATTGGCTAAGTATGGTGAGAAGACACAACCCTGATACACATCTTTCCTGATTTTAAGCCATGTAGTATTCCCTTGCTCTTTTCCAGTGACTGCCTCTTGGTCCGTGTGTGTACAAGTTCTGCATGAGCAAAATAAAGTGTTCTGAAATTCCTGTTCTCTTCAAGGCTGTTTGTTATGATCCACACACTGGAAGGCCTTTGCATAGTCAACAAAACACAAGTAAACACCTTTATGAGTTCTCTGCTTTTAGCCATCCTTTGTTCCATGTCTTCTTCTGAATCTGGCTTGGATTTCTGTCAACGTACTGCTGCAACCATTGTTGAATGATCTTCAACAAAATTGTATGTGCATGTGCTATCAATGATAATATTCTATCACATACATTCTGTTAGGTCACCTGTCTTGGGAATGGGTAGATATGTGGATTTCTTCTGTTCAGTTGACCATCTAGCAATCTTCCAAATTCCTTGGCATAGATAAGTGAGTGCTTCCAGCACTTAATTAGCTTGTTGAAATATTTCAATTGGTCTTCCATCAATTCCTGGAGCTTTGTTTTTCATTGATATCTTTAGTACAGCTTGGTCTTCTTCCTGCAATAGCATCAGTTCTTGATCATATGCTACCTCTTGAAACGATTGAATGTCAGCGAAGTCTTTGTGGTTCTGCGACTGTATATTCTTTCCATCTTCGCTTGATGTTTCCCGCATTGGCCAATATTTCCCCATAGAATCTTTAGTATTGCAACTTGGGCTTGACTTTTTTTCTTGAGTTCTTCAGTTTAAGAGCTGCTGAGCCTGTTCTTCCTTGTGCGTTTTCTACCTCTTAGATCTTTGCATATTTCATTATAATACTTTACTTTGTCTTTTTGAACTGCTCTTTGAAATTCCCTGTTCAGCTCTTTCACTTCATCATTTTTTCCATTTGTCTTAGCTACTGTACAATTACAGCAAATTTCTGATCCTCTTCTGATATCGACCTTGGTTTTTTTCTTTCCTGTCTTTTTAATTACCTTTTGAGCAAATAATCAATAAGTTGGACTATATGAAGAAGAACGTGGACAGCATCGGGATCAGAGGAAGGCTTGTTAACAACCTTTGATATGGTACATTCAATATTTGCCACCAGCACCATCATCCAAATGCGTCAATTCTTGTTCAGTCTTCCTTATTCAGTGTCCAGCTTTCACATGCCCATGAGGCCAGTGAAAATACCCTGGCTTGGGCCAGGCACACCTCAGTCCTCAAAGTAACATCCTTGCTTTTCAACACTTTAAAGAGGTCGTATGCAATGGATTTACCCAATGCACTGCTTCATTTGGTCTCTTGACTGCTACTCCCATGAGTATTAATTGTGGATTCAAGCGAGATGAAATTCTTGCTTCCATCTTTTCTTTGTTTATCATGATTTTACCGACTGGTCCAGTTAGGAGGATTCTGGTCTTCTTTACACTGAGTTGTAATCCGTATTGAAGGCTTCAAGCCTTGGTCTTCATCAGCATGTGGTTCACGTCCTCCTCACTGTCAGCAAGTAAGATTGTGTTCTAACTGCAGAATTAGACAAACAAAAGGGAAGAACACACTCAGCATATCGTAAACTGAAAGAACTAAAAAAAAAAAAAAAAGTCAAACCTTGAGTCGCAATCTTGAAAGATTCTGTAGGAAAAATATCAAATGATGCAGGAAGCGTCAAGAGAAATTGGAAAGAATATATAGAGTCACTGTCCCAAAAGGAGCTAGAGATAACATTACACCATTTCAGGAGGTAGCACATGATGTTTTCTTGTGTTTCATTGACTATGCAAAGGCATTCGACTGTGTGGACCATAATAAACTATGGATAGCCTTGAGAAGAATGGGAATTCCGGAACATTTCATTGTGCTCATTAGGAACTTGTACATGATCAAGAGGCAGTTTTGTGAACAGAACAAGAGAATACAACATTGTTTAAAATTAGGAAATGTCTGTGTCAGGGTTGTATCATCTTACTATATTTGTTCAATCCATATGCTGAACGAAACAGCAGAGACGCTGGATTATATGAAGAAAAATGTAGCACCAGGACTGGCGAAAGTCTTATTAACAATCTGAGATATGCAGATGACACTACCTTGCTTGCTGAAAATGAGGAGGACTTGAAGACTTGCTGATGAAGATCGAGGATTGTAGCCTGTGGATTACACCTCAATATAAGAAAGACCCAAATCCTCACAGCTGGTCCAATAGATAACATCATGATACATGGAGAAAAGGTCAAATTTGTCAAGGATTTTGTTCTGCTTGGATCCACAATCAATGTTC